AAGATAGAGCAAAATCTCTTTTAGATGACTACCTAGCTACATCTAAGGATATTAAAAATAATAATAGTTTTTAAAAAATTAAAACCCCATCATCCAACACACAAATGGGATGCCAGAGCAGTCAGGGAGCAGCATAGCAAGTTTGACACAGGCTCAAGTAAGGGTCTGCAAACTGATTAGGTTCAAGCAAACTGGAAGCACCTCAGAGCAGCTGGAAATTCCCCCTCAGACAGAGCTATGTCAAAGCCATGCCTGCCTGATTAATAGGAGATTCTCAAATACCACAGAGGAATATGAGCAGCAGATCAGAATCTGGCCAAAGGCTAGTATCTGTGAAAAAACCCTTCATTAAAAGAATTTTGGTCCTCAAAATTGTAAAAACAACTATTCCCATTAAAGACGTACCAGCTTCCTGAAACTAATGAAGTAACTCAAAGGAGAGAATGACCAGTCCCAAATGTAGTATCTGTGTGTGGATACACAAGTTAAATGTCAGTATTAAATATTTCAATGTGGTACACTTCAGAAAACAGGTCTGGAAAAGAGGGTGGATTTTGTGTAGAAAGTATTTATGGAGAGAAGAGGGAAGGGGAATTAAGTGAACTCACATGTGAAAACACAAAGTACAGCTGGGAGGAAAAGAAGAGAGATTGCAGCAGCCAGAAGGCAAGCTTGACCCCAAACCCCATGCAGAACAGCTAACGCAGAATGAAAACAACAAATGCTGTTACTCCACAAAAGCCAGATCCTGGCCTTGATCTCGGCCACCTACCATTACCTCTCCTGTACTTATCACGTGGGACAGCTACTGATGGTGGAGTAACCACAGTCCAAAACTCACTGGCTAATGGGAAGTGGAGGCAAAGACTCTCCGTCCCTCTCCTCCTAGTACAGTAAATTGCAGTGCACTGAGCAACCACCCTCACTGAAACCACACAGTCCCTCACCAGAGCGACATCTCCTTTATTTCTCTGCAGCTCACTAGGGCCTATTATTGCTTTGCTTTGTTTGATGTGCTCCCTACACTGAGAGAAAGCATGAAGGGAGAAAAGAAAAAAGAGAAATCTAACTGTCTTTCAACTTCCTAATCATCTTCCTCAAACTGCTCCATGCATCAGCACTGATTTAGTTATCTGCCTGCTGCTAGGTTTTATTTAAAGAATAACATACAAAGAAGAAAGGATTTAACCTGACCTCCTTGAACTGCTGGGTGATGAATATTACACAGAGCTGACAATAAAAAGCTCGTTTCCTTTCTCAGACTAACCTAAACACTATGCAAAATTCCCCTCTATCCAAGCCCACAGTTTTAAATTGGGCTATTAAAGGCTTTTCTTTTCAGGGGCCTGGGTTGATGCAATCAGCGTATCATCAGTGAATAAGGATTGGTAACATGAACCATCATAAAGCATAGCTGTGGGTACAGTGACTCTCAGAGGCAAAACAATACAGAAAAATTGAGTAAATTAAAACCAGTGTTGTTCTATCCAGCTACATCAAGAAGAGAATAAAAAGCAGTAGGGTCCACATTTTTTCCCCACTGTATCAGTACAGCATTCAACCTGAGACTTTGGGGTGTTACGCATTACAGATCAAGGAGGACAATAAAGAAAAGATCTGTGGGAAGCATAGAAGGACATCACCAAGTAATGAGTAAAAATACCCTGGACAGAAAGAGAAAGGAACTGCAGAGCAAGATGCAGTCACAGGACCTGTTAACAGGCACAAGCATGGGATCTCATCTGGTGGAAGGAGCAACCCAAGGTGATTCAAACAAGGTCTGGCCTAGACTGTGCACAGAATTTCTTCTCTGGAAGCTACAGAGGTGCTGACACAGCTGTGTCTGGGACAATGCCCTCAGCTCCCATGGCAGTTCTGTATTTTGTCCACCATAGGTTCCTGCAGAATCATTTACCTCTCCAAGAGTGATTAACATATACTCCCAATATTTTATTTTGGGAAATAGGCCACATCACAGAATCACAGAATCACAGAACGTTAGGGATTGGAAGGGACCTCAAAAGATCATCCAGTCCAATCCCCCTGTTGGAGCAGGAACACCTAGATGAGGTTACACAGGAAGGCGTCCAGGCGGGCTTTGAATGTCTCCAGAGAAGGAGACTCCACAACCTCTCTGGGCAGCCTGGTCCAGTGCTCTGTCACCCTCACTGAGAAGAAGTTTCTTCTCAAATTTAAGTGGAACCTCCTGTGTTCCAGCTTGTGTCTATTACCCCTTGTCCTATCACTGTTTGTCACCGAGAAGAGCCTGGCTCCATCCTCGTGACACTCACCCTTTAAATATTTATAAACATGAATGAGGTCTCCCCTCAGTCTCCTCTTCTGCAAACTAAAGAGACCCAGCTCCCTCAGCCGCTCCTCATAAGGGAGATGCTCCGCTCCCTTAATCATCTTTGTAGCCCATCTTCCCTTCCTGAGACCACGCACAGTAGCCTGTTTTCAAAAAGCCACATTTACACATTTATGCAACACAAACAGGACATGAAGAGAGCAAACCAGGCCAAATTAACAAGGGAAACCTAACCCTATCACCCTCTTTATTAAAAACATTCTCTTTTCAAAATCTAAAACAACTGAATTTGATTACCCTAGAAAATTTCTAACTGTTGCCTGAATTCTAACTCCTCAACATCACAGAAAATCAAGTTATGCCCAACAGTTCTCCAATAACTAAATTCACTGCCTAAAACTCCCTGCCCCATACTAAATGCCAGCATTCTCAGAGCCTCCAACCACACTTGCTGACAATGCTGCACATCTTTATCATTTGTACCCTTTCTTCTGCTTTTGCTGGACCAAGATGTCTGCATGTGAAGGTAAAACCGGCTAAAGAAACCTTTTTTTCTCTTCCTCTCGCCCACACCTGAACAAGGAACACGAGAGTCTTGCCTTCACCCTTCTTACTGGTGCAACATCAACAGTCCCAGCGAGCACAAGATACTCCTAAGCACCCATGTTCCAGAGGTCGGCAGGAAAAAAACATCATCACACGTCAGGAAAAAAACATCATCACACGCCTGGCTTACCTGATCCTCGGAGAGCTGCGATATGTGATTCACCGCAGCATAAGACTCTATCTTCGGGTTGAAGTGATTGATGATGGCTCTGAAACAAAGGAAGGAAACGTTCAGAGGTCTCAGGAACAGCTTAGGGATGCAGCAGAATTTCCACACTAGCTTGAATCAGTGCACATGGAGCCACAGTCCTGCAGGAAGGAGTTACTCCCTCACTGTACTGTATTGCTTGCTCTGCTGAAGGCAGGCTCCCTGCTGAGAGGCCAAAGCAGATTCAATCACAGGCTCACTGGAAATTGCGAGCACAGGCACTGCCCTGCCATGGGTGCATTTGAGCTGCCTTGCTGGGAGCAGCCTGCAAACTGCTTGGTGTTCCAGCAGAGACACAGCGAACCTGGCCATCGCTGCACCAACCTGCTCAGGAACTGTATCTCCTCATCTCTTCCAAAATTGATACCACCTCACATTTTGCCCTATGGAGCTTTGTTGCCTGATGTGTTGAAGCTTTGGATCTCTGCTACATTAGAATGTTATACTTGGCTCTTACTTGTAGTCTTTCAGCACTTCAGCTGCTACTTTGATGTCTTCCTATAATGACTTCGGTCCTCAGTCTCAATTTAGATCATTAGATAACTTATGACAGCGTCTCAAACAAAGGAGCAGAAACACTGATCACTCCTACTTCTCTGCCTGCACCAACATACTCCCCTTCCCTTCCAGGTGGATCTAGCGGGCAGGTATGAAAAATCTAAAATTGAAAGTAAAATAATAATTGGGAAAAAAAATAAAACTGCAGCTGGAATATTTCCTCAACTTCTCCTCTGCTTGTCAGGTGCAGCTGAGAAGACAAATGGCAAGACAGTAAAGTCTCCCCAGGCTTAAGTTTGCAACTGGTCCAGTTAGGATATTGCTCATGAGCCCCACTGCCGAGGTAAGCGCTCATCATGGCAACAGCCCATGTCTGTGCTCAGCGCAGATGTGTGCTGATGGTGCCTGGAGAACACTCGCTTGGCCAAATTACACCACAGCAGCGGTCAGGGCTTTCACTCTCCTGTTCATCAGTATGAAAATTCACTCCAGCTCCCTCTGCTGCTCTCTAATAGGTTCCCTCCACCCCACACCTCCCCCTGCAGAAAAGCTTTCAGCTTCTGTCTCCAGACTTCATCACAGCTAAGAGCTGGTGCACAGGTCCAGGAACAAGCGATATTCAGTGGTGCCAATCAGAGCCAGCAGAAAGAAAACCTGCCTGGAAGCATCTTCTCTTCTTTAAATACACAGATAAAGAAAAACAGTGTGGAGGGAGTAAGGAGTGGGAAAAAAAACCACCCCAAAATAACAAAAAACCCACACACACACAAAAAACCCCCAAACCAAATCAAAACAAAGAACACAAAAAAGAAACCACCAAAAAAATCAAACAGAACCTGAAGGCTGACTGCACCATTCCCAGCCATACACCCCATCAACACACCAGAGGCAGTCCATGCACAGGGGCAGTCACTCCAGCAGATGCTCCTACAGCATCAGTATGTATTTAGCACAGGGGGCTTCCCCAGTGTCACCTGCTTTGAGTGTCACATCAGCATAGA